CGGTGGTCTCTGTGACACCCTCACTGGCGTCGGGTCCGAGCTGCTCCCACGAAGACCTACTGCACGCTGTGGAACCCAGGTCGTGTGTGGTCGGTCAGTAGTGACCTCGTTTTGGTGTCGAAACGTAATGGGTGAGGGGTGGAGAGAGTGCAGTAGATGCTGCGTAAGTCCCCGTTCTGCGCTCACACGTGGATGGACGTCGTCCTTGGCGAAAAACCGCCGTTTCTTTCTCATCTTACCCCCTAAGGGATTGCTGACTTTCGGCACGTCGTGTCACATTTTATCTGGGCAGGACAAGCAATGGCATCCTGGGGCTTTCATCATTCGGGGCGTTTTATCCTATCGTGTCTCGCCTCCTTTGGAAATTAAACCTTATCTGATCAAAAAGGTCGCAAGCTGGGGTCTCGGGTGGAGCGCCACCTGGGGTTGGGTGTGACTGGCTGACGACGGCTAATAAGCCAGAAATAGCCATTCCAGTCTCTCTTGTCTTTGCCATCAATACTATCTGTCCATACTACTAGTTGCTATAGCTGCTGTCAGGGCCAGAGAAATGAGGGCCAAGGCAGAGTAGGACGAGTGAGTTCCTTTAGCGGCCAGGTGAACGATCATCAACGAGTGTCAATATCTCCCCAGACCTAAACCGGCAAGACAACGAGCGCGTGGCTCAGCGGTTAGAGCGTTAGACTCTGATCGAAAAGGTCACGAGTTCGAGCCTTGGGTGGTGACTGGCTGACGACGGCTAATAAGCCCGGAATGGCCATTCCAGTCGCCCTTGTCCGCCGGTACTACTATCTACCTTCTCTTTTCTCATGCTCAACATATTGTGTTTGTATGCTGCAGGCATTGTCGTCTTAGAGTGAAAGTTATATTGCAATTGGTTTTTACCGACCCCAGCATTCCACTAGTTTTGCAATGGGATGCCTTTGTGCTTCTGTTCGATTTCTCCAGGCTTGCCAACCTCTGGGGGTTCTCATTTATGGAAATGGAACTGAACGCTTATCGTTTCTGTGCACCGACACGTTCTACTTTAAGGAAGACTGGCCGTATAATAGACCTACCATGCTCATAGAAGCTGCATCATAGGAATTTTTATGCAAACTGTCGTTTGAGCTCAATTGGTATTCTGTTAATAACTCAGTATCTGGTGAGATTTCGCGTTTCTGTATGATGTCCGGGCGTTTAATCTATTCAATGGCTCGGTACGTCTCCTTCAATGTGTGCGTTGTGAGATTGGCTCAATTTTCACGGCACGCCACGGGACTAGTTCGCGCTAAAGGGTCATCGTCATCGAACTAGGGCTCGGCTGTCCCTATAATGTTTTTGAAATACCTATGTTCCTGTGGGTTTTTAGTTATTACTACTCTCCTTATTGTTCTACGGGGTATTTCCTTGGTGTCTGCACCCAATTCTTTTCGGATATTTCGGGAGAGATTCACTGGAATAATGGCTTCCACATTTGCTGCAAAACCTGTCTTTTCAAAGGCAACTGTGCCGCCTTCTGGTAGCTTCTCCTCTTGGATTGTGTCAATATCTTGGTTAAGTGATATTTCCAGCCAGTTTTTACTCTTGTTCAGTGTCATTTACGGTAACCTCGAGTAAATTTACGTTGTTGACATTTTGCCTTCGAAGTATTGGATCCCGTCTTCAGGCAACTGAATTTTCACCATCTGTAATTTACTCAGTCAAAAAAATAAGATCTGCAACCGACGAATAGTACATAGCCCTTAAATTTACTAACCAGGATATTTCTAATGACGAACTGTACGGGATCGGACACGTGGTATATCTACGCGAGTAATAAATGTTCGGAGTTGCAAAAACAAATTTAACTGCATTTTGATTAGGTAGGTCCGCCCTCGCGCAAGTCACATGTTTTTCGGCCTTTTTTACGTCACGTATGAAGCGCAAACGGTCTCTTTTTAGGGACAGTTCGGTCGAGCTGGATTTCCGAAGGACAGATTTTTTTTTCATCTCAAGGTCATATACAATCTAGTGCCTTCTACGACCTTGAACGCATCCAATGTGCGTTAAGTGTTGTTTCTTGTCGTGCACATCAGTGGCAAAATACGCTTCTAAGCTGTCACAAAATTTCGTGGACTTTTTTTTCTAGGAAAAAAGGTTGGATTCCTTGAAGTCAACAGAGTTGTTGTCATTTTAGAGATTTTTTATTAGCTTTAACTTAAAGGCTGTGGTAAAACCTTCAAACGGTATAAGAACTGCTTCACTGACTGAAGAACATTAACATTAAGGTCAGTTTCTCTTTTACATTCGTCCTTTAGGTTTATTTTCGAGTTGGTGGTCCAAGCAAATATATTAAAACAAGTTGTTGACCTTCCCTATGCACTTTTCGCCAGTTCAAGGTCACTAGGGCCAATTAATTCAGTGGACAGCAGTCACCTTTTCCAGTGTTACCAAATCAAATGCAGTGAGGAAGTAAACTCCAGAAAAGTGCTGAAAGTTCCAAAAGATTGGTAATCACTGGCCAATGCATGTACCAAAACTCAGAAATAATATTGAACACTTTTTAAGAATTTATAATTTAAATATAAAATCTGAAATGTACTATTCGTTTGTTCAGAAGGATCAGCTTTTAAAAAAAACTTCGAATTCCGTAAATTTGGAAAATCATTGTAACTGGGACTAATAAACGTAAACAGAATCGTCAGGTGAAATCGTAAACATACCATTTTATGTCCATTAAAATAATCTTCCTCTCCTCAATTCCTGTTATATATACTGACATTAGACTACAACTAATTTCAGATCGTCCTTGAAATTTCCATGAATATTTTACGATTTTTCGTGTTTTCAAGCTTGTTTCCAAAAAACTGGGTTTTTCACAACCTTCAAAGTTAGGTATTTCTTAAAAACATTTATAGAAAAAGTTGATGTTGGATATCATTTCTTATGAAAATGGCCGTTTGGATCATGTTGGTAGACTAACCTAAACATGAAAACTCACTGCCGAGAAAAATGAAAGTCAGAACGAAATTTTGCTATTACTAGGATTTTGCAAAAATTTATAATCCTCTGTCTCTTCTGGTTATAAATGACGCATTAGCGGAAACGATATTATACAAAACGTGCCTTGCCAAATGCTTCAAACTTAACATTATTGTTTTCGCTATCTCCAAGGTACGCATTTTTTTCAGTAGTAAAACAAAAGACGGCCAGACAAGTCAATAGCTGTGTTTTGTGACGACAGAATTTAGGATATGGCAAAAAATGCTTTAATTATTAGGAGGGGGTTGACAGATTTGAGTAATTCATTTGACCCAATTTTGAAAAAACTCGGCGCTCTCCGTGAGATTAAAACCCTAATCAGCAAGAAAGGCCTTAGTACAGCCAATTCTCTACCATTTGAACTACGAAGACACATCAAGATCCGTGCGTTTAATC